TTGGCTTCATCATCACTGCTTTCTTCTTTCTTTGCTTTGCCTTTGATCTTCCGGTAATACCTTTTAATGTGCCCCTTCTTCCCACTAATGTGCGCCCTTCTTCCCACAATGATGGCACACAATATGGCAAATCTGTTTTGATTTTCCCCTACTCTTAATCTCTTGATTTGAACTTCTAGATTGGCTCCTACCTCTGGGATGATTATTTCTTTTGGCATCTGCTAAATAGAATGTCTGACAATGAGAAAATGAAGAAAGGATTCTGTGCTTTGCGTCTCATTTCTTCATTCAGAACGAACGAGTTTAAACAAATTCCCAGCTCTAGTTAACAAATTCCCAGCTAACTCCATTATGTGGTGTAGAGTTTGTTATTAATATCTTCAAAGTCTCCCAAGACTCTGGTAAGGAGGCAAGCACCATAAGGCCGAAGATTTTATCATCAAATTTTATGTCCATATTTGACAGCTGGTGAATAGTCACCTGCATTTCACTCAAGTGATCTGCTACAGAAGTACCTTCTTGGTATTTGAAATTCATCAGCTTTATCAAATAAAACAATTGGTTGTTGCCGGATTTTGAGGCATATAACTCTTCAAGCTTGTCCTATAATGTTCTAGCATGAGTCTCGTTGCAAATGTGTTGCCAAATGTGGGTTGTATACCATTATCATCGATCAAAACAATATTGTGAGTGCAGAAGTTATGAGCTGGGCAAAATTCGTCATGGCTCTGAAAGCCCACATCTCTTCACCTCAGAGGTCTTATCTGTGGTTTTAGACGTTGAACCAAACACGGGCAAATGCAATTTGTTACCATAATAGGAGATCTCTCATTTTATTTCTCGCCATTGATATGACGTAATAGTTGGCGAGCCATTTATATATGATAATTTGCGCCATTTAGACTGATCATTTTGCTCGTTCTAGCTTCTATGACTTTTGAGTGAATAGTAACCGTATATGTGAATAGTACTAGTATACGAGAATAGTAACTATACACATAAATAGCATTATATGTGAATAGTACCTGTATGCGTGAATAGTGCTATACGTGAATAGTGCGGGCTTTAACAGCAACAGTAACGCCAATAGTAACTATTCACCATCAACCACGAGTTACTATTTTACTATTAATCACTAAGTCAATTCTGCAACGTCTTTCCAAGCGGACAGCACCAATGGACTCGTCGTAATTTTCTCTTCGTCGTGGTATATTTATTTTCGTAAATTTTCTCTTCGTCGTGGTAATATTTATTTCACCCATATATCCACGGATCAGTTACTGGCTATCTGACCGGTTTGACCTACCGAAACCTGGTTTAAGATATAGTACCATGTTAGGCACCGGTGTGCAGAATAAAGAATGTACGAAAAATAATTACGGCTAGCCGGAAAAAATAGAAATGGGAACACACAGAAATTTAAAGTGGTTCCACCGTTTTAACTGTTTAAGGCTCATGTCCACTGGGGAACCAACTCCCGAATATTTCTTCACTATTAAAAATAAGTAGGCTTACAAAAAGAGTAATACAAACCTAGTGACACTGCAAAAAGTTTTTTCCAAAAAACACCCTAATAAAACTTCAGCTATTTTTCCTAAACCTATTCTTAAAACTAACTAAAGTCAATTCTGCAACGTCTTTCCAAGCGGACAGCACCAATGGACTCGTCGTAATTTTCTCTTCGTCGTGGTATATTTATTTTCAAAATATATCCACGGATTCAGTACTGCTATCTGACCGGTTTGACCTACCGAAACCTGGTTCTAATACCACTTGTTAGGGCACCGGCAATAAAATTACAAAAAATAATTACGGCAGCGGAAAAATAGAAATGGGACACACAGAAATTTAAGTGGTTCACCGTTAACTGTTTAGGGCTATGTCCACGGGACCAACTCCGAATATTTCTTCCACTATTAAAAATAGTAGGCTTACAAAAAGAGTAATACAAAACTAGTGACACTCAAAAAGTTTTTTCCAAAAACACCCTAATAAACTTCACTATTTTTCTAAACCCTATCTTAAAACTAACTAACTCTCAAATTATGGGATTTGAATCACTTGTTAGTATGTTTCAAATGAGGCAAATCTTCTCCTATTTATAGGAGAGGAAGACGAGTATAAAACGTGTTTTCTCCCTTTTTTTTTCTTTCATCGCGTGTGTGGGTCCCACTGAATGGGCACGCCACACCAATTTCAAAACAATGTATGGGTCCCATTTGAGTGGCACCGCACACCAATAAAAAACAATGTGCGGGTCCCACTTGAGTGGGCACCGCCCAACACCATTTTCAGGTATTACGATTCCACTCCCAAAACCACTACCTTATGAGCTCCTAAAACAATTACCCATTTCTCAGTTCTATATTCGCAATCTCAGATACAAAATTAATACCAAAAACCAGTATTATGTTCCTCAAAAATCAGCGAAACTTAAAGGCAATGCCATTAGTGGGACAGACGCAACAACTAGCCGTAAATCACCTGAAGACACACTCTCTCTAAAAACTACAAAATAAACCTCACTCGTCTCTTGTATTTCCATTGAAATTTGCACAAGAAACTCATAATTGATAGTTGATAGATGATCTTGGTTGTTGACTTGACAAATAAAGGATCCAATCGAATTGATAAGGTTCGTAGGTAGGAGGGGAAATCACTTAACTCTACTTTTCAAAATCCAGTGATGAAACCACTGTAGTCATGTTGATAACTCAACAAATGAGAGAGATGAAAAAAATAATTTAACGGTGAAGAGATGGTGAAGTATAAGGGGGAAAAAGCTAAAGCCACATGAGAGTAGACTGTCGTTCATGTAAATGATGACATTAGAGTCTTTGCCATCTAATTTAACGGTGAACAACCACATTTTTTAACTGAAGAATTGTACCATGTGCGGGGTAAAATGTTAGGGACATTTAATTAACCTTTACAATTGTAGAGACAAAGTAGTAAATTAGGTTAAATGTCAGGGAGTAAAAAAATTTTTTTTTCCCATTATTATTTTATAATTTTTATTAGAAATGTAAACGCTGAGTAAGAAGTGACATAACAACCCTTATAAAAAATGATAATAATTGCGGGAAAATGTATCTTTTGTAATTTGTTTGAAAGGAGAGGAAGAAAAATAATAGAGTAAGGAAAATAATTGAAGAAAAATAATAAGTAATTATCAATTTTCTTTTTATAATTATTTTCTCTTTTGGGTTAACGAATGAAAGAAAACTTTATTTGAAAAAGGATGACAATTATGAATCCATTTATTTTTAAATAATAGAATATATATACTCCTTTCGTCCCATTTTGTTTGCATGATTTGACAAAAAACGCATATTAAAAATTTAATCAACAAAAATTACTTTATTCTCTTTTACCTTTAACTAATTAAGATATTAATAAAAGTCATTTATTTATTGAAGGATCATCAGGGTTATCATAATTATTTACATGTATAAATTTCGAAACTTTGCAAAAATTTTTAGACATCCAAAAAAAGAATAACAAACAAATATAATGAGACAGAGGGAATAGTTATTTTGGGTTTTTAAAAAATTTAACAAAAATAAGTGAAATTTTCATTTTTTTCCATTATTTCCATTTTCTCTCCAAATTGAAAACATTCAAAACATGTAACCCGAGTGAAATAAATGAAGTATTACTTAAATATTTCCCTTTTCTTTTCTTAACAAGGGAAAATATTTTTCTCCATATATTAAAATAATTTTAATATACTTCTATCCAATCAAAGACCTAAAAAATATTAAAATAATTTGTTGAAATATAACAATTAATTAATATTAGTGGTTAGAACTTTGGTGATATATATTTAGTTCCACTTTTCTTTGCCTTTTGAAAAGTCCATGATTTGCTTTTATTGGACTAATAAATAATAATCAGTCCAAAAATTTGCTTTTCTCACCATTAAATTATAAATAAAAAGACCAAAATACATTACTTGCTATTTCTACTATATTTTCTTATACTAAAAGTAAAAATTTAATTTTTCCAATTATATCAATAATTACCAAAATATTTTATCAAAATAATACTAGAAAAACTATTTGAAAATTGTTGAGAAGATGAAGTTATTCTTGTTAATCTATACATACATATACGATTAAAAATAAAACTACATGGATTAAATTGTAATTTAGCCTTTTTTTCTTTAATCTTTAATTTTCCCTTTGGCATTGTGCTCTAACATCCTTAAAATGCATTTTTAAATATATTTCATTTTTACTAATTATCAAATCAAACCTGAATTGAACCGGCAAGTGGGTTCGATTTATTGGTCCTCATATCCATTCTGTTCACTTGGTCAATCACAGAGCTTAACTATTTTCAAGCAAAAAATAAATTCAAATTTGAAAGTTGATCTGTTCTTGATTATTCGAATTTGAAAATCATGATTAAAAAATTTTCTTTGATACATATTATTGGAAAATGCTTTACAACATGTCAAATGTCTTAACAATCTTAATTTATTATTTTATTTTAAAAAAGTTATTAATGTTACAATTTATTTGATAATATATAAATATATATCAATATTTATTCAAAGGTTGATACCTTATACATTTTTAATATGAATTATTAAACAATGAGATTTACACTTTTAAATATTTTATAAGTGTTTAATAAATGTAATTGAAGTATTCAATCGATACAGTTTTATAAATTAAGGTATTTAATAAATATAAATAAAGCGTTCAAACTAGTTTAAAAGTTATTACCGAACACGATGTTAGCAATAAAAATAATATTTTTTTAATGGAATCACGAAATAATTTAATGGAAAATTCTTAAAAATGAAATAGTCATTTTACCAAATAAAAGAAAAGTGACAGTAATAATTTTTCAATCAAAATTCACCAACTAAATAGTTGTTTGACTATCAAACAAAAGGCGATTGTGTTGTTAAAACTTGACACGCTTTGAGAGGCTGTGAGGCGCCAAAATCATCTCTTTTCCAATACACTTAACTAACTCTGTAGTCTCTACCATAACCATCACACTATTACAGACTTGGCCACACCTTATCCACACGCTTCACTTCTGATTCTGATAATACCCAAATACACAAAAACAAAACCAACCTAAAAGGATTTCCGATAGATAGAATCTTGAGAAAGAAAAAGGAAAAATGTCATTAGCATCTTCATTTCCATATATCAAAATCCCTAACCCATCATCTTCTTGTTCTTCTCCATCTTCTTCTTCGTCATCAACTTCAACATCTTCTTGTTTTAAATTCTCCTCAACAACTAAGTTTTGTGCTTTGACCATTAGGAGCTCTCAAGCTGAAGGGCCTATAAGGAGACCTGTGGCTCCTCCTCTCAGAGAGCCTTCTCCACCATCACCACCATCACCTCCTTTGAAACCTGTTCCTCCTTCTACTGTGCCTCCACCACCCAAGCCTGCTGCTAAGGTGGGTTTGGATGATAAGAATGTAATTACCTTGGAGTTTCAGAGGCAAAAGGCTAAGGAGCTTCAAGAGTATTTTAAGCAAAAGAAGCTTGAGGAGTCAGATCGGGGTCCTTTCTTTGGGTTTGTTGGCAAGAATGAGATTACCAATGGAAGGTAGCAGCTTAATACGCAAATACATTTAAAAGGAATGTTTTTGAATCAAATTTTGTTATATGGGCTTGCGTTTGATATTCAAATTGGGTTGAGATGATATTATTGTGGTTTTTGGTGTTTTTTGGGGTATTTTTGCTCACATTTAATTGTTGAAATTGAATGGTTTATCATTCAATGTGTCGTGGTTCAACTTATATAAGGAGGTAAAATAATTAGGGTGTTTGCCAATTTAGCTGAGCTCTCTGCCATAGCTAGTAACTTACCCATTCATGAAGAGAAGATTGAGAACAGAAATTTAACATCACTTTTTTTTCCTTCCCATCTTCTTTTTGGACTTCATTATCTTACTCTCAAGACTGAAATGCTAATATGAATCCTAATACTGGGCTATTCTGCTCAAAGCCAATTAGTAACTATACTAATATAGTTTAGAACAATTGAATATCGAATTTGTTTGATTTGCAAATGGATTTCATATTATATTAAAATGTAAATTTCATTTCGAAGATATAGTCTAATTAGCTTGTAGTAAGAGTTTATTAGCTATTAGCTTGTATCCATATTAAGTTTAGAGCTCATTTATAAATTTTACCATTTCTGTTAGAATTTAGCTCTAGTATAACCAAATTCCATAAACTCCAACATATAGAATTTCAAATGAATATGAATTCATATCAAACACTTCATTTGTGGATATCAAAATGAATTCTTTAAGATTTTATAGGATTGATATACTACTATACGAGCCTTAGAAAAATGCATTACTTTTTTAAAGAGTTGCATCTGATTTTCTTGTCTGCGTTTTTGACTGCTGAAAATCCCTGTCCTGGCTTGAAATTTGTCTTTCACTTACAAAACTTGCTTAGTAAAATCTTTTTCTTTGTCATGTAAACATTTCTTTTGTTGTAGTATATAACTGAGACTAGTTAGAAAGAGAACAATTTATAAGAAAGCAATGTGACTGGTTCACTTCTTGCTGCAGCCTTGCATAAATTGCACACAAATTATTCTACTAAGAATTTAGTATTTGCTATACAACAAAATACATTCATGTTGTTTAAGTGTTGCAGGTTACAATTTTTCCTTCTGGTATGAATTGTTGCAGCACTTTTTTTTCTTCATTTTTTAACCACTCATAAAATTTCCAATATGAATTCTTTAAGATTTTATAGAGTTCATTAGTAAGGCTTAACAAAAGGCATTATTTCCCCTCTCCTGCGCATGGGTTTATAAGCCAGTGAGTGTTGGGATTCACTTGCACCAGACCAATTGGCTTATGCTAGTTCCATTACCCATTCAATTATAAGTCCTTTAATTGTTTTATTATTATTCAATTTGGGGTTCGCTTCCCAACACCTGTTACCTATTGTGTCATAAGGTTATAGTAGATTCTGTATGTAACTATAAAGATTGAACATTATCAATAGCAAATAAACTCTTTTCTTTGAAAGAGAAGAAAATAATGCTTTCTTGCTCATCTCTTCACTTAATTGAAATATGATAATCCAATATTTCTATGTTTGGACTAGCATGAAATGCTCTCTAGGATTGTTAGAGGATGCAAATTGTATGGTCTATCACCTGGTATCCTAAGTTCAATCTTCACAATTCCTGTCTTTAGCTTCTCAGAATTTCATGTTCTTAAACTAAGTTAGCTTAGTTAAGCTATGAACTTCTTTTTTCTGTTGTATATATATGTTGAGCTATAATATAATGAGCATAATAAGACCCTTTTTTCTATTATTTAATGCCTCTTGTGCCTCATTTTTGTTTCTGTGCTTAAACAGATGGGCAATGTTCGGTTTTGCTGTTGGGATGCTAACGGAGTATGCTACAGGCTCAGACTTTGTCGATCAAGTAAAGATCCTTCTCTCCAATTTCGGGATAATCGATCTAGAATGATTCATTTTTTCATTCTCAACAGCATAAATACTTATTTTTTGACTTCTGTAATTGCCTTCTTGTCTCCAAAGTCATCAATACATTTCAATTTCTGTAATTGCTGTATCATATTCAATATTCTGCAACTTCTTTAGTAATTTATTTCCCCCATGTTTTATTGATGGATTATCATAAACAGAATCCTATAATTTAAAAGAAATTTTCTTTTCTGAAAGCTGAAGAGGCTGAGTTTGCCAATGGGACAATTGTTGCTCATCAGATAAACCAGATTCTGTTTTATTTTCCTACCTGTTGAAGAAAACTACAGAGTACAGTCTTCTTAAACAACTTGCAGGAAACATCACAAGGGTATAAGGTCCAAGACAATAACCCTTTTCCAGGAAAAAAATATGGATAGAATTTTCAATAAAATGATTTATAGAAACTTTTAATAAAAGCTAAGATAATGCCTCTCAAGCTACCATTCATTCAGAATACTGAGCAAGAGTTTTTGGCATCATTGTTGAAGGCTCAATATATAAATTCCCCTTGTACTTTTTTGCAAAAAAAACTTGTGGCTCCCTTGACTTTCACTTTCACTTTTTGAATACTTCAACGTATAAAATTACAGCTATTAAACGTTTTAATTGATCTATTGAATACTTCAACTTATAAAATTAAATTGATTAAACATTAATTGAAAATATAAAAATTATTGTTTTAAAAGTCATATCAACTACATATCAAATCAATATTTTATATATAAAAATAAAAAATCTTAATAATTTATTATTTCTAACATGATGTGAGATTATTATAAAAAGAGAAATTTAAGTGCTATACAAGATTTTTTTTTTTTTTTTTTTTTTTTTAAATCAGGGGATTAAATTTTCGTATTCAGCCAGGTATGCTGAAATTTCATTTTGAAAAATTTTTTTTTTTTTTTTTTTTTGTTGAAAATCAGGGATTAAATTTCGTATTCAGCCAGTATGCTGAAATCATTGAAAAAAAAAAAACACATTTCAGATGTTAGAAAAAGTAATCTGCTAATGACGTTTGGGTATCTCGAATGGCAAAGAGCAATAACAAGACATCACTTTCATGTTATCATTAAAATCTGACTTTTATACAATGAAACTTTTATACACATCTCATTGTGAGCAGAGCAACTACTAGCCTACAACTAATCAACACAAATCGAAATCTAGTTTATTTGCATATAGCATACACAAGAGTGACAAAAAACAATCCACAAACTATGTGCATTCCCTTCTGCAAATATAACATCTTTGCCTCAAGCCTTTCCACCCTAGCTTCAACATTTGCAATCCGCGCTTGCAACATCGCCAGTTGTGTCTCCAACCTTACATCAATGTGTTCCCTGCCATTTCCTACACGTGCGTAATCATCAACTTCCGAAGAATCATCTTCCCAAGGCTGATAGCGACACATTTCTATTCATGGCATATACTGCAGTAATATATGAAAATTATTAAGAGATAAAAAATATAATAGGCGAGTTATCACATTCTGCTTAAATTTATTATGCAAATCAAGTCAAAATTAAGATCTTGAAAATTTCATAAACTAAAGAAAAATCAAGAAATAATCATCCTAGTGGTTCATATCCGAAGTTCGTAACCAAGATTTGATTGACCCAACTCCAATGCTATTGCTATAACCCAGATAATGGACAATCAAAGATTTCCATGAAATATGTAATCATGCTAACCTAGACTCTTCCCGAGTCCTATACTCATAAAGGATAAGAAACATAATCATACCTTACGTGCTAAGAGCTAATAACTTTCACAATTCAAATCACGATTACAATGGTGAGATGGGGTGCTTTATCAGATTAATTAAATAGCATACTTCTCTTATATTCATTTTGAAGATTCAAATTCAACAAAGAAAAGCTTGTTTACTAAGGATGCCACGAATTGGTTTAACAGACAAGTATTAACACAAACATGGGCGAGACATTCATTCAGAATATGCATGCCTAATTCCTTTGAAATATAGAACTGAATATTAATGCCAAATGAATATATTTCAGTTTACAGAAAGACAACAAAAACCTTGGGTTCATTCAACATTGATCTTATTATTATACAAAACCTATGATTATATCTAGATCACAGGAGGAGATGTTAAACATAACACAACTAGAAGTTTCAAACATGAGACAAAAACTAGTAAAAAGAAAGCAAAATCTAACAGCCTATGAACCATCTCTCCTGAAGTCAGCTGACATAATCCATTTTAGAAACAAAACGGATAAAAATTTTATGTCAAACTAAAATTGTGAAGCAAACATGATTCACAAAACAAAATTGCCCAATCATAACGGTGAATTACAAGCAACACAAAGACACAGCTGAAACAAATTCACTAGAGTACCATTCATGATAGTAACACTTTGGCTGCGACACACTCACATAATCACACACGATTCAAAACCTCGAAGCTGGCTGATGATTACCGGGCAATCCCATAAACCTAAAGCTAATACAGACTTCTTAACTCAAAGGCTAATACAATCCAGAAACCCAAATTGCCATTTCAAATTGGTACTTGACTATCAACTATAACAAATTGCCAATTGGTACTTCTTAAAAAAAGAGAACAATCTATAACAAATTTAGTAAAGAAACACACGAACCCTTTTTTTGCAATTTCAGAGAAAACTCCAAACTCACCAGAACAAAGCTCATTATAATTCACCAAACATTTCTTTTGTGTATAGGATTATTAAACAGGTCAGTCCAACAGACAGAACTGCAGTTCTGTTAAGAGAACCGCTGACTACTTCTAATGCCGTCGCCTAAAGATAAGCTAAATGCCATTTTTGGCTGCTTACATTGACAGAAAGAAATTAAAGCGAAAAAAGAAAAGGAAACAAAAACCCTAAAAGAGAATCATGAAACGTTCATCAAACCGACAGAGACCCAATGGTCCAACTTTTCCATTAATTCATAAACAAAATTTGTAAGCATACCTCAGAGAGACGTAGAAAATCCTCCTCAAGCAACACTAATGCAATACTGTTCATTCGCTGTAGTTTATAAATATAGAGGATCAGCCATGGCTAGCGGCCCGCGGCCCGGCCCGAAAACGGAAGAGTCGGGTCGAATTTCTTAGAACCGGTTCTGGCTTAGTGTACTGTGTGACTTTCCTGTCGATCCAAATTCCAAAATATATGCTATTATTATATAAATATTAAATATTACCGGTTTTTTTTAAATTAAATATTAAATATTACCATTATGTGTTCTATAATTAATAATTTATATATAAATTATCTTTCAAAAAAATTTATACATAAATTTTTTATAAGTTATAAACCACACTGTAATCTGGCACGATGCATCTATTAATTATCATATTATATATTTAGAAATATAATTTTTAAAGTTGTGTTATAATACAATAGAATTTGACGTTTTATAATAAAATTTTATAAATGATATTTCATATTCGTTGACTTTGTATATAATAATTTACTTTTAGACATCATTATGAATACTATATTGACATTATCATGTACATGTAATTATATAGAAAACCATAATAGAATGTGTAAAATTTGATAATGCTACTTCTAGTAGAGTTTTTTTTAAATATTTGTTATTACACAAATACAAATACTTTTTTTCAACCAAAAAAAGGTGAAAATCCATGTATGTTTGTTTTTATCTTAGTTGATACAATTTTATTATAAATTTTTAAATAAGCTAATTTTTTTTAACCTATAATAATTTTAAAATGGGTTTTTTAAAAATAATAATAATAAATAAATAAAAATATTAATGAAATTAATTTCATCAATAATTTATTATTTAAATAATCAACAGAGATAATTTATATTCACAATTAGTTGAAAAAATATTATCCATTTAGTATCTCAATTAAAGTTTTTTTAATGCAAATATATGCAAAATAAAAGTCTTAATGTGAATCTATTAGATATATATTTCTCAAATGAAAATGGGCAATTGCTATAAATAAAATTAAAACTAATTTTTATTAGTTTTTTGATTTTTGAAATTTTAATTTTAGTCTATTCAAACCAAAAAAGTCATAAAAATATAAATTTATATAGGTATTATTATTCTTAGGTTTAAATAAGATATCAAATATTATTATTTTATTAATTGAACTAATAAAAAGGTATTATTATTCTTAGGTTTAAATAAGATATCAAATATTATTATTTTATTAATTGAACTAATAAAAGCATAAATAAATATTATTTCAAAAAATAGTACTAGCAGAGCTTTATATAAGTTTATAATATCAATCTTTAATTTGCTTAAAAAAATTATCGATATTTAATAATTAATATTTAATAGATAATTATATTTATTATCAATACACACATTGATAGCACTTAATGTTTATAGCAACATGTATATGAACTGCTAAAACTTTTAAATTCTAATATATAAATATATATATATATATATAAAAAGCAAATATTCCCTAATAAAGTTAACATGTTCACATATCCATTGGCCATTTTAATCTTAACATGTGACATATTCCTTTCAATTAGGCTTCCACTTGGCCATGGTTGATTTGATTATTTAATTTATTAATGTATCTGGCTTGATTTTTGGTTTGGTTTGAATTTTATTTTGATTAGTTTTGTTTTTAGTTTGATTAATTTTTATTATTCAATGTATTAATGTATTGGTTTTAGTTTTGGGATTTATTTTTGAGTTAGTGTATGTATTGGTTTAGTTTGGATTTATTTTGAGTTAGTGTTTTTGATTTGGTTTGATTTGATTATTTAATGTATTAATGTATTAGTTTGGTTTGGATTTATTTTGAATTAGTGTTTTTGGTTTAATTTGATTTGGTTATTTAATGTATCAATGGCTTTGAGTAATTATTATTAATTATTAGTTTTTAAAAAATGATAAAGTTTAATAACAATGAATTATTCAATTAATGTATTAATGTATTGCTCTGTAATAAATCTTTACTCTCAAATTTGTGAAATAATAAACGTTTCCTCTAATAACCGTTAATGTATCTTTAATGTTTTCTATCTAAACGTTCCATTTATTATTTTCTTTAAATAGTGTAGTAATGCACTTTTTAAAATTTTAAATTATTTATTCTCAATAAATACTTTAGCTTTTTCAGAAATACTATATATAAGTTGTATCACTATATTGTTCTGTATTTTTGACAAATGTATATTGGTACCTGCTTATAAATATATTATTGATTTTTTTAAGTTTAGAATATTCTACATTTCAACTATTTCACTAATAGGGTGAGTAGTTCTTACTCAAACCTTTTTTTTTTTCCTTTTTAAAGATTATTTAACATATTTTTATAGACGTAAACTATCAAATCAATATATATATATATATATATATATATATATATATATATATTATATATATTATATAAAGCAGGCAAGGAATTTTTTCTTGGTATTGCCACTGTAGAATTTTCCAAATTAATGACGTGTATGACTTAATGGTTGTTTTATATTTATTGAAAATAAATTAATGTATGAGTGAAATAAAAAACCAATCTTAAATGTAATTGATTAATATAACGTTAAGAATTAATAGTGTGTTAAATAACGATTTATATAACTTTTAGTGATATAAATAAATTACATAATTATAAATTTTTTATAATATGGATAGTTTAATTTTAAAATTTTATATTTTAAAAAAATTTTAAGAATTTTTGTATTAAATTAAAATTATGCTTAAATATTAATTGATTATTATTAGTATTAATAATAATGATAAAGTTTGAAGATTTATACAACTCTTAATTATTTAAAATAAATTATTTATTCATGAATTTAATAAAATACACGGAGTTAATTATTTTTACATTAATTTTTAAAATAAATCAAATTAATGAATTTTACCCACCTTTCATTTTACTTTTTTTTTAAATTATCTTTTATAAATTTTAATATTTAATTTCATATTCTTGAAACAAACATGCCTATTCTGTTTAATATTATACTTTAATTATAAAAATCACGCTATATATTTTTTTATTATGATATATCTTAAAATTTTTTAATAGATATAATTAAAATAAATTATTCAAATATATATATATATTTCTTCTAACAATTTTACTTTTTTTTTTTAACCGTGCTTAGGCCATTTGAGTATATTGTTAGTGATTTCCATAATTTTATAATATTTTTTAATAGTATAATAAAATAAATTTTATTCAAATATATATATATATATTCTCTCAATTTTACTTTTTTTTTTTAACCGTGCATAGCATGAGTATATTGTTAGTGATTTTCCATAATATGAGAGAAGATATATGAAATTTATTGATTAATCAAGTCTAAAAATGAAAATAAATTAAATTAACAAAAAAGTTAACCATTAATATTTTTTATTTAAATCAATAGTACATCAATTTTATATATTGCAAAATTAACTATTAAAATTATTTATAATTATTCATTCAAAAAATGCAATGGAAAACTCATATTAAGTTTCACTTATGTAAATTAAAAAGTTTAACTTCAGGAATTTTAAATGAATAATCATTTAAGTTAAAGCAAGAATGTAATTAAAAAATAATAAAAAGGTTAAGTAGAAAAATAATATTGGATAGGAATGTAATTAAATAAAATATAAAAGGATTAAGTGGGTAAAATTACTATTGTGGCAAGAATTTAATTAAGAAATAATAAAAGGATTAAAAAAATATTATAGGATAAAAATGTAATTAATAAAATGTAAAAGGGCATAGTGGCACGCCTATTAGATATATATAGTAATTTTATAAATTATAAAACTTTAACACTTTTGAATTAAAATTTAGGGCATTGCTAGGTAGGTGTACTCCGGTCCTTCTTGACAATTTAAATATTGTATTAAATGAAGGCCCCACATGTTTCATTGAAACGAGAGCATATATTATGGAATGGGTCAAGTACTGTAATTATAAAGACATTGATAATATTGAGTTTTTCATTAGGGGAAGGAAGCTTAGAGAGGAAGTTGCACGCACGAGCAATATTGGTCTTTCATGGGGGAAAGGAAGCTTGGAGGGAAAGCTACACAAATGATTGGAAAATGGAAAAGGTAATTTTGATCATAAAGTGTCAAAGGAACAATGTGATCGGCGAAAAAAATATGGAGGAAGACGGAGGGAGATGGCGAAACATTATTATTTGCGAATTGGTAAAGAGCGTGCAGGCAGGATACAAGGTATTTTGAAGTAGTTGAGTTGTCCTCCACACTTCTTTCCTCGTGTATTTACATTGCAAAAATCAAATGGCATTTGCATTTAAATATAACCTAATCATAATATGAACCTTTATATCCATGTTTAAGTTGAATACAAACATCTGCTTGTGTGAGACTTGTGTTGTGGTGTTAATTTGTGCTTGAACAAGTGTTTTCCCTTGAGTAAGTTGTGCGGAAAGGAGCAAAGGTTGGTAAAACCTATAGGTCCATTTTGGACATGGAATTGTTGAACATGTAAATGAACGAACCTATCGCTTTAAGGTGAATGAGAAATGCAAGTGAAAAATGGCAATTGCGCTTGTAATAGTTTTGATTGCATATCTCAATCCGGAAGAAAGGGATAATGAACGACAATATCATAAACTAGTGAGGGTCATGTCTAGAATGTCCTGTGTTAAACCATCTAAAAGAAAATGATGATATACTTTGGATATTGAGTCCAATACAATAATATTTAGAGTTAGAATGGAGTTTTGAAGTGCAGGGTGGTAGTTAGTAGTGGCGATGGTAGATGTCAATGTGATAGTAATGAGTCCACAAAAAGTCTACGTAGTAAAATACTAAGACACGAAAATAACTGTAGTGGTAAGGTGAATAGTGAACGCGAATGGAAAAAGGTTACATAGACATGAAAGTTGGTCAATAATGAAAAAGGGATGTGTGATGCAGAGTGTTGAGAATATGAAAATATACAGTTGTTGTGAGGGCTATCATTAGTTTCTGAGGAGAACAAATTGGTAAGAGAATGAAATGCGTGGGTTGATTTATTGTAAGAGTGTATGAGGAGCAATGGATATGCGACCGTGACTCTACCACGGTTTAAGGCGGAGTTGAAAAAGATATTGATGTATAATAATTTGAGGAAGATGTTCAAGTTGAAAGTACTGTGA